ATAAAGAATAATCGGTTATCGGTATCGGCCAAAATTTTCATATCGGTGCATCCCTACTATAAAATATAATTTCATAAATTGCATAAATAATTATGAACAAAACAGCATCATGTATTTATGCATTGCTTAATCCAAAGAGCTGAAGCGCCATTCGCACAGACTGCATTTAACATATGAGACGCTGTGAAAAGGAATAAACCTCCACAAATTCGTGACGTGTTTTCTAAATGTTTCAACTGTTTTAACTTTGCATGGCTTTCTATACATCTCTTCTGTGAGACGCGAGTGCAGCAGTCATATTTGTCCGTCTAAAAAATGCGCTGAATATGCGTTCTGTGTGAATGGCTTAGTTTTGGATTTAACCCATTCAAGATCTTCTCCGCATTGAGCTTCTATATTTCTCTAATATTTTGAATGAATAACGCAGCAGCGGCGCATCTCGTGGGCTAGACTAACAAAACATTAAAATGCAACCACGTCACTTATATCACCGCATCTCGAGCGCCACTGATGACGCTCCCTGATGCACACCTAACATTCAAATGCAAATGTTTATTTTAAATTCGACTAATATTCATTCTTTTAATTCACAATCTCCTCATCACAGGCAGGTACAGCACTCATGTTTGTGTGTGCTGTCTGCGTCACTCATAGCACGTGCCTATATCGTGCACTATATCGAAATGTTTTTATATCGTTATCGAAGAAGGTGTACCGTCGAAAAATATCGATACCGTTTTATCGCCCAGGCCTAGTTTTTGAATTCTGGCTTAAAAAAATATGGGCGGTCATCTTGGATGCCAACATTTTATTGTGAACCCCTTCACCACCACAGAAATGATAAATGTAAAAAACAGGGTACAACAATGCTATGTTATTTGATCCAAAACAGAAAAATACAGTAATATTGTTTTATTTTTTTTCAATTTAAAATAACTCTTTTCTATTTGAATATATTTTAAAAGGTAATTTATTCTTGTGATGCAAAGCTGAATTTTCGGCATTAAAATCTGGCCTTCAGTGTTTTTTCAAATATTGTAGATTTATGTGGCAAATGATTGCTAAAATATATTTTGAGACAAACGTCTATTAATTTTCAGGTTTGTTCAACATAATTAAATTAACAGTTTTCCTTGATGCGTGTCTTTAGCCCCATAAATGAAACTGCATAGCCTTAGTTATTTATGACATTACATGTACGTTTTTTCTTACTTACGTCCTATTTTGGTATTTAACCTAAAGGTTCTGTAGGTGATGGTTTGGAATAGTACACATAATAATGTGTTCTTTCTAGCTAACAGATATCACATGACTTTTTCCACCATTTTTACCCAATCAGCGAACTAGCTGCAGCTGTCAGTCATTCTGAGGAGTCAGGACTGTCACTGGTCTTGCTGAATTTGTTTGTGCATGTATTGATCCACTCACTGAGCTTCCTGTCCATCTCCTCACAACGTCTCACTTCATTCACAAACTTCCTCTGGAACACGTTCACATCAGGGTTGAGCTGAAAGAAAGAGGTTATCTCATTAACTCTCAGCATATGATAGAGGAGAGAGCGGGAAGAGAGAGAAAGCAAGCTGTATCTACTCACATCTCTGAACTGCACCATTCCCAGCTCTCCCAGTTCACTGACGCAGCAGTAGGCCGCTTCAGACTGGAGGAAGAGCTGGGCCAGAGTCATCTCCTCACTGCGAAACAACTCCCCCATGATGCTGCAGGCCACAGGAACTCACCCACGGCTCAGAAATCAATCCCACTGGATGCTACTGGTCAGTCTGGAGGAAAGACAGATAGATAGATACATTATTTACATCAGTCCCATTATAACACATTTATGGGTAATACTTCAAATGTATTATTATAAACATCAGCAGTTAAAAAGTGTAAAAGTAAAGTGTTATATATAATTTGTCTAATTTATTTAATATATAATTTATATATTATAGAAACCGGTTTCATCTCCTAATGTGAGAGTCTCTGAGTCTGAGCTGGGCTCAGCATCACTCGCATCCCAAAGAGCCGATTGGCTGAAAGCTCAGCATCCCTGTGTCTCTAAGAGCTGATTGGCCAAGAAGCTCAACAACCCTCGCATCACTGAGAGCTGATTGGCTGATGGCTCAACATCTCACATCTCTGCTGCACTGCCCTTCAGCTCTGAAGGGCGCCATTACGCGCTCTTCTCTCTATCTACCCCGTGCCAACAATAATTCTATCAGAGTATTGTCACATTATTTAATATACTAACAAATTGAAGCAAAAACCGAAACATCTAACACACGAATATTTATTTGTAAGATGTTCATTTTTGTTTAATAAGGCTACAGCGAAGCATTCTGGCATAATCCTAATAGTGAATATAATTAGACCACTTAAGAGTCCTCGAGCTTAGGTAGTTTTTAGGTAGTATTTTGAACGAAATGAGATAAATTAATTCATGATTGAATAAATGAATATATGAATGAAACAGTAAGTAAATATGCTCGACTGAATAACACAGATTTCCAATTTACTAATCATTAAAATGCTGTCAACTGTTTATTCTTCCACGCTAATATAACATAATATTGAAGTCACATTAAGAGTAAACATAAATATATGATCAACTCTAATGGCTGACCGAATGGAGAGCCTAACGTTAGCGTTACATCCATATTCAAGCATCACCACCTCATTCAAGCGACCACAATAAAATGATTCATCCACTCATTTATAACGTCGTGTATACATATATAGTGTCAGAGTTAAACGTGTGGATAAAAAGAAAAACGGATATGTAAAAGATAAATGTTCTTACCGTCCTTGACGTCTTCAGTAAGAGATCTGTTCTCGTCCGCGAGGATGAGCAGACCTGCTCCGTGACGTCACGCCTGCTGCTGCTACAGGGTCACGTGATTTTTTTCGCCGTTGCCAAATGCCACTGGATTTTTTTTTAGGCATTTTAGCGTTATGGTTATGTATTGTATATATGTATTGTTTTTTGGTTGTTGTTTTTTTAACTATAAACAATGTTTATGTATGGTTTAGACTTATTATAGACCTATTAGTCTATTATTTATTTATTATTTGTTTGTTTGCTCTTAAAAAGTGTTTATCGTTTAAAACCAGAGGTGGACAGTAACTAAGTACATTTACTTGAGTATTGTACTTAAGTACACTTTTTGAGTATCGGTACTTTACTTGAGTATTATTTTTTCTGGGAACTTATGACTTTAACTTCACTATATTTGAAATACAAATATTGTACTTTTCACTCCACTACATTTCTATCAAGGTCCTTGAAGTAGAAAGTCGTTACTATGTAGCAGCTTTGAAAGTCAGTGGGTGATTTTTTTCTTCTCTAAAACTTTCTTTTTTTTCTGACAGTTTTATCAGTAATCACTCTTGTAGGACTACATGAAATGATTTCCCAGCATTTTTTGAACACTGACCGGCTGCAAATGTGATATTTATTTACAACAATTCAATAATAAGAAGTTAATATTGTGGTATATATTAGACACAATATTGTCTAATTTTTGCAATCTTGATAACAACATTTTGAGCAATTATAGACCTTTATCAAATCTTCCTTTTATAGACAAGATTATTGAAAAGGTAGTTTTTAATCAGCTGAACAAATACTTAAACTCAAATGGATACCTGGACAATTTTCAATCTGGTTTCCGACCGCATCACAGCAGAGACAGCGCTCATTAAGATAATAAATTATATGCGCTTACATTCTGATTCTGGCAAAATATCAGTGCTGGTACTACTAGATCTCAGTGCTGCATTTGACACTGTCGATCATAACATACTTCTAGAGAGACTGGAAAACTGGGTTGGACTTTTTGGGATGGTACTCAATTGGTTCAGGTCATACTTAGAAGGGAGAGGTTATTATGTGAGTATAGGAGAGCATAAGTCTAAGTGGACGTCTATGGCATGCGGAGTCCCACAAGGCTCAATTCTTGCACCGCTCTTGTTTAGCCTGTATATGCTCCCACTAAGTCAAATAATGAGAAAGAACCAAATCGCCTATCACAGCTATGCTGATGATACCCAGATTTACCTAGCCTTATCTCCAAATGACTACAGCCCCATTGACTCCCTCTGCCAATGCATTGATGAAATTAGTTGGATGTGCCAAAATTATCTTCAGTTAAACAAGGAGAAAACTGAAGTCATTGCATTTGGAAACAAAGATGAAGTTCTCAAGGTGAATGCATACCTTGACTCTAGGGGTCAAACAACTAAAAATCAAGTCAAGAATCTTGGTGTGATTCTGGAGACAGACCTTAGTTTCAGTAGTCATGTCAAAGGAGTAGCTAAATCAGCATACTATCATCTCAAAAACATTGCTAGAATTAGATGTTTTGTTTCCAGTCAAGACTTGGAGAAACTTGTTCATGCCTTTATCACCAGCAGGGTGGACTATTGTAATGGTCTCCTCACCGGCCTTCCCAAGAAGACCATTAGACAGCTGCAGCTCATCCAGAACGCTGCTGCCAGAATTCTGACTAGAACCAGAAAATCTGAGCATATTACACCAGTCCTCAGGTCCTTACACTGGCTTCCAGTTATATTTAGGATTGATTTGAAAGTACTTTTACTCGTTTATAAATCACTCAATGGCCTAGGACCTAAATACATTGCAGATATGTTCACTGAATATAAACCTAACAGACCACTCAGATCATTAGGATCGAGTCAGTTAGAAATACCAAGGGTTCACACAAAACAAGGGGAGTCCGCTTTTAGTTAT